AAAAAAAAAAAAAAAAAAACCCTCATGCTAAAATAAACCTGTTTGTCTCAGAGTCTGGAAATGAAACTACAAATGCAGATGAGGGGATCCCTTTATTTAGACCATTCTAACCAGATGGCACCTGGGGAGAAGCATTAAAACACATCCACATCCCACGCATACACCCAAACTGATTGCAACCAGCTCTGAGCTCACTGAAGAAATATGCCTGGCAGATATTTTTGCCATGACAATTTTGGGGACATTCATTTATAATTTTTCTGTACTATGCCTGAAGAAGGGAATTTATTCATGAAAGCTTATGCTGAATGTTTGGTTTTTAGTGGTCAAAATAAAGGCATCACCTCTTCCACATTTGTATTGTGTAAAAGACCACATAGGTATCTCTGCTGTTGTTTTGGAAAACTTAAAATGTTACATTTAGCACACGAACAAGAAAACTACTACTTTTATTTAGAACAGGAGGACAAGCCAACCAATGTATCTACACTTTAAAAAAAATACTGTTCCAGGTTTCTAAGTTCTGTCTTCAGGCATCTCGCTACACTTTTCTTGCTGTATCGAAATAGGCAGGTATGGCTACTTCTCTGAAAATTATCCTGTATTATGTGCAAAGCATCTTGCTGCAAAGGAGACCACAGCTCATGTGTGTGCCTTAGGGAGGGACCTGAGGAACAGAGGCGGACTGACACTGGATGACCCTCAATCATGCGACTGGCGGTATAATTGGGCAGACGACATCAATCTCCCCCCCACATCCAGTGTGGTCACCATCTGGTTACATTACACACTGTCCAGTCAATTCTGATGCACAGCAATCCTTTCCAGGGTTTTCTAGGTATGGAGTTCTCAGAATTGCCATTTCCTTCTTTCAGGACTGCTTTGTGACAGGGCAGCTTGCCCAAGGTTGCACAGGCTGGCTTTCTTCTCGGGAGGCACAGTGGGGAATGAAACACCCAACCTCTGGCTCTGCAGCCGTCATGCCAAAAGTGAAAGAAACTGCAGGCCCCCACCCCACCCGTGTGAGACTTACCACAAGGCCCATCAAACTTCTTGAATATGTTTTCTTGCTTGTCACAGGCATGCCTGTTGAGGTGGCACTCGCTGCGGTAATCCTTGCCATCACTGCCGCACACCGTGTTCTCGGGAACGCCGCTACAGGATGACGGGCAGATGCACTTAGCTGAGAGCCCATCGGTGGATCGGGCACACGTGCTGCCAAAGCTGCATGTCACCTCTACACAGGGGTCCTTTGAACCTGGGGGAGGGGGGGGAGAGAGTTGAACCCAGGAGGATGAGGATGCATGACAAGGCAAGAGGGGATTTGATTTTCATATTTCTTGCACTACAAATCCCATTTCTTGCACTACAATTCCCATTCTGACTTACGCACACGTTGCAAACACTAAAACATGGCTCATGGGGGGGAAAAGCGTCAACTGGAAGGCTATGAATCTAAGCTAGGCCTAACTCTGCCTAAGCTTCCTGTTCCTGCCCCAATGTTAGCTGGGAGCTTTCTTTCTGAACAGGAAGCTAGTTGGAGCTAGGCCCAGCTCAGCCTTAAAGCCTTCCAAGTTGAGGCTTTTTTCTCTCACGTGAGCCACATTTAGGCCTCTGTAAGGTCTCAATCAGGTAGAACTCCCAAAAGAGGGGATTACGGAGTTTGCAGTCTAAGAAATATGAAAACCCTATCCCTAATGGCAGTTGAGATGAGGAATCATAGGTGAATGGGGTTGTTTGGGGCAGAACATTTTAGCCAATGAGATCACAAGAATGGATGGAGTAATTTTACCTTCTACTTCAGCAGGGAACCCACTAAACAGCCTTTAAAACAAGGTGTTGCTATGCTTTCCTAAAGTGGGGGGGGGGCGAAGTGTCGTTTAGCTCCGCAGTTCCTCAAGTGAAGAGACCCCTAGGGCAATGGGATTCTTTTTTAGACAAGAGCTCATCCTATTACATTCTCTCCCACTGAGCTTTCAAAGTGCAGATCTCCTTCCCACTCTGACAAACCAATGCAGGAAAGGAAAATGAACCAACAAGTAAAACAGTTGCAGCTACTATGTTTCCCTGAAAAGGGTCTTATATTAATTTTTGCTCCAAAAATGCATTAGGGCTTATTTTCAGGGGATGTTTATATTTTATTTTTATTTTACAGTCATGTCATCTTCCGGTTGCTGCACAAGGGTGGAGGGTGGGGTTTCTCTTAACTGGGGCTTATTTTTGGGGTAGGGCTTATATTATGGGCATCTTGAAAAATCATACTAGGACTAATTTTCAGGTTAGGTCTTATTTTCGGGGAAACAGCGTGGCTGTAGCGTTCACAGCTTGCAAACTTTTTGAGATGATACCACCCAGTACCCTTCAGCCAGTAGCAATTCTGAGAGCCATAGTGCAGAAAAGCAACTGGTCCAGTTTCTGTTATTACTCTATGATTTAGGACATGCTGGCTGAAATCCTGGTGCACAGTTAGGCAATGTGCCTCAAGTTATGAAACTTCTGCAGGCATTTATCTCAGCATGCAAGAGATAATATCTAGGGAGTTTTCTTAACTTACAGCCATGTGCCCCTGAAAGTTATAGTTTGCCTAACTGTACAACAGGATTCCAGACACTGTTTTCGAACTTGGGGATAGGCAAACATCAGGTCTGTGGACTTATCCAATCTGAGAGCAAAACTGGGGGAAGGATGATTTGGGCAGGAGGACCTCATGCAAAACAATAGTTCAAGGAGCCGAAAAGATTACTTATCCCACAAGTCATACAACTTTTCCATGTTGTGGAAAGGAAGGCAGAATTAATTAAGCACTCATCTCATACTAGTTCTTACCTTCTTGGGCCCCAGTGTGGTGCCAGTTGGGCATCTAATGCTAGCTGTGCCCCCCCTTGTCAAAACCTCACCTTTGGAAACCTGCGCCTGCTGCCCGCAGCCGATCGGAATGCCTGTTTATTTTTCACACGGAAACATGAGGGCTTGCTGCCACATGTGCTGCCTCAGCCCTGCCGTTCTGTGAGAACCATCAACAAGGCATTCCTGAAGGCACCGTGAGCAAAATGTAATTAGAGAGATAGAGAAAGATATCAAGAAGCCATTCTCCATTCAGACAGGAAGGGCCAACGTAGGTTATTCATGCCCCCCTCCTCTCCGGTGGCTCTCCTGTATTTATTTCATTATTTCTCTGTTCCATTTGTCACTTTCCCCTCCTCCACCTCCTCCTCCTCCTCATCCCTTATTATTATTTTGAATAAATCACTTGGGTGCACACTCTGTCTCCCTCCCTCTCTGGCTTCTGACTGAACCGCCCTACAGGAGCCAGCCGAAAAAACTCAGATTTATTGTGAGCAGGAGCACCGCGTGGGGGGGGGAAGGGGGGGAAAGGTCACGTTAATTTACTCAAGAGACAGGCGGGTCTGGAGTTTCATTTGCACAGTTCTTGGCTTGCAGCTGGTGCATGCCATGTTACCAAGAAGGGTTCATTAGCCCCCTCTCCCCAGGCCTTTCCACAAAATAACCTGCTTCAGGGCACAGAGGGGGGGGCACGCACAACTTATGTGCATTGGTGTGTCTCTCTCGGTGTGGGCTAAGATGTGCGTATGTATTTCCGATGGCTCTATCTGGGGCAGACAAGGAGGCATAATCAGATGGGCCTATTTGCTATTCAGAAGGATGGTGGTTAGAGCAGCTGAAAGCTGCATTTTTGCCACTTGCTCACTCTTCAGGGGGAAAAAAGGAAATTGCTGCTTTGTCCTTTTCAAGAGAAAGAAAGTGATAAAAGCAGCACTCAGCTTCATATTCTCTCTCTCTCTCTCTCTCTCTCTCTCTCTCTCTCTCTCACTCACTCACTCACTCACTCACTCACTCCCCCCAAATTCATTCTGGGGCATCAAGACAAGCTCTGGAGCAGCCTTCCATAGCATGAAGGCTTCTAACCCTTCAATACAGCCTTACTGCTCAAGTTCTTTTTCTTGTTTCCTCCCTGGCTGACTTTTACAGGACACCAAGGGATGATTCAAGACAGTGTGTTTTTTCCCTCAAAAAGTAACGTTCTAAATTTTTGAGAGGTGTGAGGATGTTGGGAGGCAGGGATGCTGGGGAGGGCCAGTCAACTTGGAGCCCTGAAGGCAGGTGGTGGCCTGGGGGGCATCATGTTGCCCACCCTTGAAGGATAGCATGGAGCATCAGTGGGTTCGGGTGGGGTGGCTGAAGAGGGAATCTCCAGGGCTCACCGCATGCCCCTTTGCTGATGACTTTGATCCGGCGCTGCTGGTTGCACTGAGCCTTCTCCAGCTCACATTCATTGCTGTATGTAGAATAGTCTGAGCCGCAGACCGGGGCCACCACCGAAGGGCACGTGGTCTTCTTGCACACGCACACTCCCTGGGAGGAGTCTGTTGGGTTCTTTTCGCACACTGCCCCGAATCCGCACAGGACCCCTCGGCACACTGTGGGTACAAAGAAAAAGAAAATGCTAAGGAACCCGGGCACTTTGCTTGTATCAAAAGGCAAAATAGGAGATACACCCTAGATTGAATTTTAAAGAATAACAACAAGTATTTTAATAAGACCTCAAAAGGTACACATTTTTATTTGGCAGAAGCTTCTGTAGACTTCAACCTACCTCATAAAAGACATCAAACATTTTTTAAGGCAACACCAAAATCTGACTGCCTGCCATTGCCACCTACGGCTTCAACGGCTGCTCTCAGGAGCATCAAGAATACACTGCTTTGCAAGACACCAGGAGACACAGTCAAACGAAACAGGTCCATCACAGAACAACGACAAACCCATTAAAATTGCTTTGGTTTCCCTCCAGACCAAAGAAAAACGACAACCCATTAACGCTTCGCCCTTCCTCGAAAGGGTATTAATGCCCTGCACTTCCCTTACTGTTGTTTATCAATCTATGAATGTATGTCTTGCCTTCTCTATATAAGCTGCAAGGCAGCTAACAATAAAATGAGCACAAGCATGTACTAAGACGCTATTTGACAATCAATGAGCAACTCAATTAGCAATCTCCCCCAAAGTCCAGCAACTCAATGAAAGCCATAAAATCAGCATTAATCATGGAAAGCATCTTCGTGGTAGGGACTTTTGCAAACCAAATGATGGTGGTGGTGGGAGATGAGTGGGAGAGGAGACAAGGCTTAAGGTCTAGGTTGAGTGAGGGGTTGCAGGGCGCTAGGAGATGGGCATGAACAGAATTGTAACCCAGCATCCTCTGACGGGGCATCTATGATCTACATGGATTGTCATGGTTCTATAGGCATCTCTCTCTCTCTCTCTCTCTCTCTCTCTCTCTCTCTCTCCATTCATTCATTCATTCAAAATATTTTACCATGCCTTTCTCTTTAAAAGAACCCAAGGCGGCTGACATCATTAAAAGGCAATATAAAAACTAAAAATAGTGAAAATACAAATAGGGTCAAACAAATACCATACACAAAACATAAGCATCACCAAAACACAAACACAAGCATTTAAATGTCCGCATGCAGGCAGCCCATCGTGGAGGGAAAGCTTGCCTGAAGAGAAAGGTCTTGGCCTGCTTGTGGAAAGACAGCAAATATGGGGCCGGGCTGGCCTCCTGTGGGAGGGAGTTCCAAAGATGTCTTACCTGGAGAAGCTACAGTTTGAAATCAAAACCTTTTACATATACTGTATGAAGCTATGATCCTTCTTCATCACCATAGGCCCAGAGGCCATTCACCTTTTATTTGGCTTGCACCTCAAGCCCTACGCAAGATCCCTCCTTGGCCAGCAGAAGTGTGGAGGGGAAAGTCCATCTGTGAACCCCTTTCTGTTCCTAAACATGAGCTCTGGGATGGGGGGGGAATCAAAAATGCACTTTCTCCCACCCCCACCAATCCAAAAGTTCTTCTGTCTAAAGTTTTTAGGATGCAAGCCACTTGTTCAGATGTAGTGCCATTGACTTCACAGGCAGGCAATCATTACAGATTGCA